AGCATTGATTTGTACTTGAAATTGATTACATGGTTTTCTTCAACCATTATGTGGTAATTTTTGTTTTGTGAAATATTGTCTTGTGATATATGTGAGTGTGTATATTTAATAATAACACAATTTTGTTCATTTTTATTGTAGTTGAAGAAGAAGTGGTTGAAGAGTATATTGATATTGAAGTCCCTCCACCTTCAACAAAGTGGATCTACTCTGAGAGTTCTAATGTTTTATTTATAGATGATGAGGATGAAGAGGATTTAGGTTTTGATGATGAATATATATTGTTTAGATTTTCAAACATGTTGTTTAATTTAAAAGATTATGAGGACTTTAATTGTTTTCAATTTCAAAATATTTTAATTAACTTTTAACTTTTAATTTTATTTTAATTTTTTAGATCAAGTCTCTCGGGCCCAACTTTAAACCTTGAACATAAGAGCCAGGCCTCAGAAAAGGGGTTGAAAATGGAAAATCAGGCTTAAGGGCCTTAAGGCCCAGGCCCGCCCATTTTTTCAACTCTACATATGACATAACATGTTTTTATTAGATAATTTATAAATAATATAGTACACCAAATCTATACAGGATTTCTCACAATAATATCTATATGGATAAGATGGAGATTCTATTCTATCACCTATAACTCTTTCCCCCCTCATATAAAGCAATTATTATGAAAAGTATATTTTTCTCTCCAAATTTCTCCTATTTTTCAAAGAGAAAATTTTGGAAAGAAAACATAACGCCCATGCGTTTTTGGCTTCTTTTTTTTATTTTTTCATGTAGATATTGTATTGATAAAGTCTAAAGAGATAACCAAATAATAATGAATGCAATTACGTAAAGATGATATGTGAATTCTAGGCACAATTTTATTTATTTTTATCGTGGTATTCTTTAAAATGTTAAAAAAGAGAATCCAACTTATTTTAGTAGACTGAGTCAAAATAAAATTTTGACATGCATATGGTCGTTTTCTGGGCTGATTTGTTGATGTTGTAAAAAAGGGAAGAAACATTTTCACCTAAAAGATAAACGGAAGAAATATTTTCCTTGCATAAATACAAGTATTATACATAGTTTTTAGTTGCTACGCATAGCAATGAAATTCATATATGAAAAAATAATTAAAAAGTAGTGAATTATCAAAAACTAAAACTGGGCAATTCTTATGTTCAATTTTTGGCTTTCATGCAACACACAAACACACACCATGAAGTGCATCGTATTGTCAAACGAGACGAGAGTATTAAATGAAGAAGAATCATGATTCATGACTGATCTTTTTCATCTTTAATTCCAATCTGTCCATCTTGCGCAATCCATCATCATCCTAGTAAGATCAAGCTATTGGCTAGTGTTTGGATATGCCCACAAATTAATTAGTGTCCTACCGAGTCTTGTAAATGATTATTTTTAATAAGAGGATGCCTATACATATGCAATAAAAAAATGTATAACTTTTGATTTTAATTTTTTTTTTCAATGATCAATTCACTCCATAAGTTTTGACTTAACAACTCAATTTTTATAGTTTTTTTAATTCAATACAGCTCAGTCTTTATAATTTTTTTTTTGACTTAGCACACAATTCAATCATCATAATTAACTAAATTATATTGAACGCAAGACTTTTTTTTCTTAGTGAATTTTTAAGACTCAACTCAAACAATCTTTCTCATACCAAATAATAATGACAATGATAATGATAACCCATGTTTAAATAATATTTATTCACATATATAATACGGATCATAAATGCTTTTATATTATTGGGGATTGGATATGGTGGTGGGGAAGGAATTATCATTCATCAAGCGAGAGCATACATAATAATCCATGCATGCTGGGACCAGAGGCTTCGTTGTAAAGGAAGCAGAAAATGATGAGAGGGACAACCACAAAAACGTAAACATTATATAAAGAAAATAGGGGAAAAAAAGAAATAATAGTTTTCTCTATCCGACTCTATCACGTTAATCACGCTTCTTCATGTTCCTCTCCCCTCCCTTCTCGATCTCTCTGCGAACACGCACTCTCATGACGACTCACGAGTCATTCAAAGAAGAGTTACCAGTTTACTTTGAGTCTTTGACACAACCTAATAGTGATGGAGCCAAGATCCCAAGTCAAATGATGTAATATAATTTAATTTAAAAATTAATAATTACACTAAGATTAAAATTATAATATTAATATAAGTAAATTAATTATCATTTTTAAAAAATTATATTGAACATATTAATACGGTCTCTTATGTAAATATATCTTTTTTATATTTTATTTTAATCATTAAATATTACGTATCTAATAAACTTTTGAGTATAAATATTTTTTATTTAATTCAGGGGTGCAAAATATTAAGAGTAGAGAGTGTAAAGTTGCAAAATTTACGCACCCCACTTATAATTTTTTCCAAAGTGAGGGAGTACATTTGTCCACCCTCATCACCAAGCTAAGTGGCTCCGCTGCTGCAAGCTAACAATATAGGAAAAATTTTAGTGACTTAGTGAGTACTCTTTAATTTAACTAGATTTAATTTCAACTAAAACTTTTAAATTCTAAAATTTCATTGTACATGTAGGGGATTAAAATGAAATTAAAAAGATGACTGAAATAATTTTATTGTTCTTAGTAAAACTAAACATATGAATAACTTGTATAAAAAAATTAATAATTGATGTATGAAAAATGAACAACTGACAATTTGCTACTCTTGCTAATAACATAACACCATTATAAATTTTGCTGGTGTCATGCACATTAGTTGTTCATTTCTGTACATCAGTTGTTCATCTTCCCTCCTTGAGTTGTTTATATGTTTAGTTCACTTATATTTATAATGGAGTTATGCTGTTAATGAGAATCCCAAATTTTATCTATTTTAATGTTTATTTTTTATATATATAGTTGTTAATTTTTTTATACAAGTTGTTCACGTATCTAACTTTATTAAGGACAATAAAATTGTTTCAATAAACTCTTTAATTTTATTTTAGTCTTTCACATATATAGTGGAATTTTAGAATTTTAGAAGTTTTGACTAATTAAATCTGGTTAATTTCAAATCTGGTTAAGGGGTTTCACCAATTTAATGATATCACTTGTATTTCTAACGTTCTTTCACGTTCCTATATTTTGTATGGAAAAAGTAGAAAGCTTTGCATCACAAAATAAAGCAGTTTTGCATACGTTCAGAAAGAAAGGACAGACCCCCAAAAAGCTTAATTTAACAGGTAATAAGTTATACCAATTTAATCAGAAGTCAAGTTTGAGCTCTGAGAAGCATTGGAATTGTCATCTAGAAATATCATGTGCAGCACAATCTAGATAAATTTAGAACTTATTAAGTTCTCTCAACTTGATACAAGATAGGCTCACAATACCGATAATAATCGAAAAGAGGAAGAACGAACAAAGGGAAAAAAGAAAGAAGCCTGATAATTTACAGGAAATAATCTTTGCAAGAATATTAATAACAAAAACACTACACATAAAAATCATCGTCAACCTTTAGGGATGAGCTATACAGCTGGAAGACAAAGCAGTGATTTGAGCTTTTGCAGTGAGAAATGATTATGAGATTAATGTCAAGTCTAAAGTTTAACATGATTGGGAAGAGTTTACACGCACTCGTGTTTTGGCATGATAATTATGAAAGGTAAAGAAGGAGCTTAATTCTAGGTGTGGTCTAATCATTTTCATTATTGTAGGGTCTTGCTTTCTTGGCACAACAATGGGGATAGTGATGAGGAATAATAAAGACGAGGCAACGGAGCAATAAGTGTCTCCTTAGTTTTTCCCTCCCTTCACTACTGTATTATGGATTTTTCACCTAAATTAATCCAGTTAACAATTTGCAGATATCTTTAGTTATTGCTGCATATCGAGGATTCAGACTCGAAATTTCTGGTTAAATTGCATAATCATGTCTTTGATTTTACTATACATAAGGGGAACAAAATTGACTTTATCTTGCAGGTATCGAATAATAGAGGGCTCACTCGCCAACACACTCTTTAAAAAACGGCCAACGCATGACACTCTTTTGGTGCATGCTCCAAAAAACGCACCCTAAGCTTTATTTTCCTTATTAGTTATTATGTCTTTAATATCTCTCTGTCTCTCTCTCTCTCTCTCACACATTAATACATTGACAATCTTTCATTCAATTCACTTTCAGAACACCACTTTTTCAGACACCACCCAAATCACATCACGCTGCTCCTTATCATATATAACATAGTACATAATAAAGAGAGGGCCTTGCTAATGGTGGGCAAAATGGCAGGTGGCAAAGCAGTGAAGGCTAGCTAGGGTTATCCACACTCTGAGTTTTTCGTAATTTGCTGCAAAGATAAGTAGCTGGAGAGCTTTCAGATCTGAATTCTTATAAAGACACATGGAGAGTAACTGACTGATACATATACATATATATATATATGTATGTATGTATGTATAATTATATGTGCTCTGGTCCTTCGGATATCAAGTTATTTCAAATGACACAACAATCCAGAAATCCTTCACAAATCCCGAAGGCATTGAACAGAAGGGTGAGCTTATCACCTAACCCACCAAGCATAAACAAAATCCATCCCTAGTTATCATCAGTTATATTTGAACAGGAGTGAAAAAATACAATCAAATGAGAAGTAATTAAGTTTATAATTAGCATATCGAATTTTCACAAAATCGCATACATAATAGTTCTTGTGGTGGGATATATTTTCCTAGTTTGTGATAAGTTAAATTCCATTACTTGAATCTTGAAGCATGATCCAACCGCTGGAGATCTCTGAAATAACTTTCTCCTACTTATATCTAACCTACGGAATCTGCAGAAAGAATCATTATGCTTTCCATTTCATATGAAGCAGCTGGATTCAGTTTGGCAAAAGTTTACTAAGTGGACCGTAATGCATTTATTATAAAGAAATGAGATTTAGACAGTTGAATAATATCTCTACGTGATAAAATCGATGAGCATATACACAAGATTTAACTTATGAAAGTAAAAAGGTCAAGATTTTTCTGTTATATATTTCTCTTAATCAATTCGAAGCCAACATACAATAACACCATACATGGACTATCACTAACAGAGACCTACAAGGGGTTTAGAATTGAGATTTGTGATTATCATCAAACAATTCGGTCAATTTCTTCCATTCCTTCCAAGATTAATAGGGGAAAAACGGTCTACCTCAGTTCTTCTTCTTCTTCTTCCTCCTCCTCATCATCTAGGGCAAAGCACTGTATTGCTGCTGCACATCACCCCAACCATGAACACTCCAGTTACTGCTTCCATTATTATCATTGCCAGTACCTAATCCTCCACTGCTAGCAGTGGGTGTTGGAGTCACTGAAGCATAAGAACTTCCGAAGAACCACTCTGTAGGTGTATCTCTTCTGGAATTTCCAAAGTCGGGACAAATCTCTTCAGGCTTCGAAATCTCAAGATTCTGAAACAAAATAGGGTGTGGTGATTTCTGATGATGACTCTGGTTCTCATGATTAATGGCTGAAACGGGACGGTTATCTTTTAGAACGCTACTAGCAGTAGTATTATCTCCTCCAAACAGCATAGCTAGTCTCTGCTGCTGCAGCTTCCAGTGCAGGTCCTGGTTTATAGAGCTCAGGGACTCGATCGAAGAAGCAAGGCTGCTCTGAACGTTCATGGAGCTCATGCCTTGAATTACACCGCCATTAAGCGGGTAATTAAATCCGATATTGAAAGAACTCGAGGTTCCTTCGAGGTTAAAAGCTGGAGGCTGATTGTTCAGCCTAGGGAAGGGTAAGAAGCTAGCAGGAGTTCCACCAAGGTGAAAATCCAGAGAAGGGGAAAAGCCATCGTCATTTGAGAGTCTTGAAGATGACGATGATTTCAGTTTCTTGTTCTTCCGGCAACCGCCACCAATAGGAACGTTACGCAAGGCTCCGCCTTTTGTCCAGTATCTACGACAAGTCTTGCAGAAATGCCTCGGCTGAGTCAGGCTGTAATTATTGTAGTAGCAGAATTTAGTGTTGGGCGAGTCACATCTCGGGCACTTTAGCCCTTGCTCCACCTGCATCGCCGCCGCCGAGGTGCTTTTCGGACCACCTGAGCCCTGGCTCTCGTCTTTCGTCGCCGCCGCTGCCGGAGCTGACATGGTCGAGAAGGGGAAAAAAGGTGAAGAGTAAAGGAGGAGTCTTGTGAGATGGGAACGAAAGATTCAGTTTCTCAGTTTCCTTTTGCAGAGGCAAACATCCTTATCAGATGAATTGAATGAGTTCATGCATGGTGATGAAAGAGAGAGTCTTTTGATGATGGGTGCTTGTGATCTTCATCAAAGAGGGTGATTGGAAATTAGTGAACTTTTTCAGATCTAAGGGAATAAAGATAGCAAGCTATATATGTATGTACACACAAGTGCACCATAGTGATCTAGTCATACAGATGAGAGGCAGAGAGAGAGAGAGAGAGAGAGAGAGAGGAGGCGCAGATCTCACTAGAAAAAGGAGAAGGTATAACATATACTAGAGAGAGAGAGTTCAGAGTACAGAGGGAAAGTAAATGATCCAAAACTGTTGTGACAGTACGTAGAGAGAGAATCACCACAAAACTACAACTATGAGTCTCCACAAACAAGAACTATTAAGACTGAAACTCTCTCACTGTGGTTGATAATGATGTGAGATATGTTGGAGTTTGGTGAATGACAACTAGTAATAAGCTTATAGTTATCATCATTATTTGCTGCAAAGTGAAAACAATATGTACTCATACGATAATTACTAATATAACAATTCGGGCTGTTTTTTTTTTCAAAAAAAAAAAACCATTCTGGCTGACGTAATTAGTAATATAACTTACTTTTCTCAGCTCAGACAACTTTAACAAACTTTTTCGTCATACATTCAGACCTTTTCTTTTTGTCACACAGATTTTAACTTTAAAAAATTAACTCCTTTTTCCCGCTAAATATATTGCTGCAATGATTGATTTTATTGGATTTACTGATGATGACCCAGATCGGAAGCAGTTAATCTCTAAACCTCCAGAAGAAATTAATTTAAAATCAAAATAAAAAATTATGAAACTACATCGCATCGCATGAGTACTAAAGGATTAACCTGGAATTAAATAGTTATTGTGATCCTTTATTGGAATTCTCCCAATATTATCGCCTGTCTTGTAGGTCATGCACGGGTAAATGATGGAGGAGGAATTGACCAATGCATAAACATATATGATTGAGAGTACTTTGGTAAGGGTTGGAAAAAGACAGTAAAGTTCTGGATGATCATGTTAATGACAGTTAAAATCCATAAGTTTTTTTTAAATAATTTGCAATTATGAATTTAAACAGTAAGGGTAATTACATATAGAATTTAAATGTTTTATTTGTATCTGAAATTTCTAAATTTACAAGTATTTGAATTGATACTTTTAACAAATTTTTTTAGGAAGAATCACATTCAAAGACCCGTGAAAAATGTTATTCATAGACAAAAATTAATAATAAGTCATCATTTGAAAAAAAAGAAAGAAAAAACAAGTCCATATGTTCTCATTTTAACAACAATTCATTTTGTATTGATTTTTATTTATGAATAACATTCTTTACAGGTCCTTGAATGTGATTTTCCCAAAATTTTATAAGGACCTAACTGTTATTAATTTATTTTTCCAAGACTTGAGTGTCATTCCTTGAAAGATTAGATTTTGATTAGCTGGCACATTGGCTACTGTAACATACTTACTCCCTTTGGTTTAAAATATAAGCAATTTTTGAAAAAAAAAAATCTGCATACAAATAAAGTTCTCATTCCCATAAAAATATATTATATTATTTTTTCTTGTTACCCATAGTTTCAATTATCAAAGCACTCTATAAAGAGTTAGAGATATATTTGCACATAGATCTAGGATAATAAAATACAATAGGTAAAATGAGAAAATTTTTTTACATACAATTGATTGTTTATATCTTGAACCAATATTAGTTGAGAGGAAATGCTACAAGATTTGCATTAGCAATAGAATAAAAGCTACAAGATTAGAGCAAGTGAGCTACAAATTAAATGATACTCCCTCTGTTGTGCATATCAATAAAATATAATAATGATACTTTACAAATTTATTCTTTTAAAAAAAGTCCCTGCATACTTAATTATTACTCCTTTGGTTCTATTTATAGAATAAAGAGTGAATAAAATATTTGGTCTTATTATAGGACACTTATCAATTTTCAATGCTTTTCTTTATATTTTTGCCCTTGTTAAATACTTTGAATAAAAATACTAGTAATGAGATTTAAGAATATTTATTAGAAATAAAGGTGAAAATTTAATAAATTTTAAAATAAAATTAATAAAATTTAAATTTTTTCTTGATTATAGTAAAACATGTTGAAAATAACTTATAAATAAAACTAAAAAGAATACACTATAGTAAAAAATTTCAATTTTCTCTCTATTTGAAAAATAATATTTAAAAAAGTACCTTTAATAAAACTGTATTTTTTTCAAACTATTCTATATTTAAGGATAACCATATTCTTTCAAAATCGTTGACACTAACCAAGGCAGTAGGGGAGGGGGGAGGGGGGAGGGCGAGGGTGCATGGTGTGGAGGCAGCACTGTACAGCAGCACTGGATGCCAATGGTCTGGCCTGTCACGCCCAACAGTTTGTCTAATATTATATGATTTTATTATTATTATCATTATTATTTCTCTCTTTCTCTTTTGTTCGAGGCATCATGTCAGTTCATTTTTATTTGAAGCGTCCCTTTTGAAATAAAGGGCTTAACCCTACTTTACTTTCATCTTTGAAGACCGCAAATAAAAGCTTACACGTGTGCCATATCCCTCCAATCAGGCTTTTGCATTCATATTATTAATGCTTCTATATCTCTCATCATTAATATAACTTTCGTTAATCTTAATGAAGTGGCGGTGTGTGTATGTGTGATCTCTTTTGCCCACCGCTAGCCACATTCTATTACAGCATGGGCCATACCGTCACTATGTACGTACCTTCTCTGCTTCGTCCCTTCATTAAGCTAAAGTTTGAGAGAAGTACAAGTCCTTCTTAAGGTTATGACTCAGCTGTAAATGGAAGTTGATATCTTCAAAATTTACAGTTTAAACTCACAGAAACAGGTTATGATGTCGTTAATTAAGTGTGCCAATCATACAAAAGAACAGACCAAAGCAAACACTACTCTCTCTCCCCCACCAAACAAACAAAAGAAAAGGAGCCAAAGAAGCCTTTATTTGCTCTTCATATTCTTCATATTTGATGAGTCGTCTGACATACTAGAACAAAGCTACAGCGGAATGAGAGAGAGAGGGAATATGTAGTAGAGGGAAAGAAAATCAAGGTTTTGACAAAAAACACCAGTCAAAATGATGGTTGAAAGGTTAATAGTTAAAATTTTAGTTGAATCATATTTTCGTTATAAATAAAGCATTTTATTAAATCAGTGAAGATATTGGTTTAATAATTTACTGATTCAATCAGTCGAGTTGACCAGATTTTAATACGATATATGAAATAAAAATGCCCTAACGACTGCAAAGATACCCTAACCATAAGAGGACTTTAACGGTGGCATGCTCAAGCGCTGGGTTGTTTGTCTTGATGTAGCTTTTGTTGGTGTATGGAAAGCCTTTCTGGGAACCAGGAGATATAGTATAACGTGTAAAAGAAAAAGATAGTTACTGTGTGATCACCATGCATGATCATCTGCCAAGCTATATATGCGCATCACACACACACACACACACACACACACACACAGAGAGCTGCGAACAGTACTTAAAAGGTCTCTGCTAAATTTCCTCCCATACCCAGAAGAGAAAGAAGGCAGAATTGATCAGTGACAGCAGTAAAGTTTTGAACTTTATTTATTCATCAAGAGTCTCGTAACAGGATCAGAACGGTACATTAATGAGTTTTACTACATGCAATTAGAGGTATTCCCGGGATGGATGGAACCGAGACACCCCTATCCTGTGTCCTGTCTTGAATAAAAAATTAAAACTGAATTTTTGTCTCACGTCCCATCCTGTCTCAAAAGTCGTCCCGTCCTATTAAAAATTGAGACAGGATTAGGACAAAATTGAGATGTCCCACTGTCCCAATAAATCAGACAATGGTTGAAGAAAGATTCGGATAATAACATTTTTTAAAATTTGAAATCATATAATTTATTAAGTTTAAAATTAAAACAACACAAGCACATAAATCACAATAATTTAAAGTTAATTATTAAATTATATTAATCATAATTACACATTATGATAGCAATTACAATTTACAAGTGATCTTTAGACTATAAAAGTAACAATAACAGGTAAGCCAAGCACAATATCAAATCATTATTCTTCTACTTTAGTTGAGATATGCTAACTAATTACTTTTTTAAAAATAAAACAAGAAATACAATGTAAATAAAAATTATTAAATAGATAGATATAAGAATAAATTGTATTAATATAATTAATATATTATAAAGAAATATATCACCCTATTTACTTTATGTCATTAAAATTATCAATATAAAAAACTTTAATTTTATATAAAAATGACAAGTATTGAAATTATAATTGATATAAATATAAATTATATTAATATAATTAATATATTTAATGTATATTTTTAAAATAAAAAATAATATATATATATATATATATATATTCGGGATGGGATGGGATGAGATGTCCTGATGGTAATCTTGTGTCCCGTCCCGTCCCGAACCCCTTTCGTCTCTTGTGCCGCAAAATCTCATTCCGATTGTCTTTAGACTGGGATAAGACCTGTCCTAATATGATCGAGACAATATCGAGTTAGTCGGGACAGGTATAAGCTGAACACCCCCACATGCAATAATATTGTTTCAAAGAGACAGATAGGTAGCAAGGCATATAGGCATAATGGAAGCAGGACGTAGGTAGCGACAGGCAAGCAATTCAGTGATGAAAAGGAAAAGAGGGACAAGTAATTAGAAGGTGAAAACAGATGAGATAGGTGCAGGCGAGAGAGGGAGGAACACGTGAGAGAGGTGGCTGGATTCCCGTGAGAAGGTTTCGTTATTCATTCAACTTAATTAACCAGAAGCTTTCCTTCAACGTTGCATCTCACGAGCTGTCCTCTCTCTCTCTCTCTCCCTCCCTCCCTCCCTCCCTCCCACATCCCATCCCTCTAACCACTTGTATCATCTTCCATTTCTTTTTCAACGTTCTTTTTAATTAATTGCGGTTGGGTTTGCAGATGTCCTCAAGTTTGTCCAATTGCGTCCAAGGATTAAAATATAAGTTGGCAAGTAAACTAAATTTTGTAACTTTAAAACCCCAAGAAGGTCGGCGGTATTATATTTTGGAAACGGAAATAATGGCTTTATTTTATTTTATTTCTTCGGGGGAGGAAGGAAGTGAAAAAAGAAACTTGGGTCTGTTGAAGTAAAAGAAGAGTGTTTTCGAATCGACAGCTTAGTTGTATTATACTTTAGAAGGGGCTGTGACCAATTGCATACAAATTTTTGGATTTAAAAATGTGTCAACGCAAAAAATATCTCTGAAAGCCTTTTTTGATTTAATGCTACTCTGCTCAACTTTCATTAAAATTCAATCATACCCAATCACTTGCCCACTCAATAAAAAAAGAGTTACCTCAAACGATTTCACGATACTTGACTCGGACATGATGTAATATCATACATCAGACATTGTATAAAAAATAGAGGGCTACCCAGCATTTAGGATTCATTGTATTGGAATCTAACACAACAGTACTGAATGTCATATATATTGTATAAAAAAGTGTTTTGAATTTTTTTAAAAATATATCTTAAATCTAATGCTATCGAGTTATCGGCCAATTCAAACAAGTCCTGAATGAGCATAAGCTATATGTGGTTTTTGTTGAAATTGGTTGTTCCTGAATTTATTATAATGCCCGGCCTGAACATATGCTATTTTTTTTATTTTTTGAATAATATTTATTTAATGATATTATTTTTGGTCGAGTTTTTTCATGAACTATATTATTTTTATAATTTTTTTGGACATTTTTTATCATTATAATTTTTTAAATCTCTTTCAAAATTTAAAATTTTTTTAACTTAATATTATGTAAACATAAGTGACAATGATTGATCATGTGTAATTTAAAAAAATTACTTTTAGTTCTAATATTAATTTTTATAAAGAATATATTTTAAATGATAATAATTTTATTTTTTTCAAAGAAAATTTTTTATAAATCTTTTCAAAAAAAAATATTTGTAAATTTTTTCTTGAGTTGATCGGGCCAAACTAGGCCCTAACTTACATCAAGTTGAGTATCGGACAAGAGTGCCTAACCCTACCCATGTGTAATCCTAATTTCCAGCAAGGAAAATGAAGAACATTCTAACTAATTGGCCAATCTAGCATGACCCATATCTATGGACCTAAGTGTTTAATATTCATAATTTGGCCCATCAACAAATAAATTATAAATATCAATCTAGTCTCTGCACATTAATTCCATATTTATGCTAAATTATAATAATTCCCACACATTTTTAATATTTACATATGTGGTCTTATATGCCGAATTTTATTTTCCAACAATTTTTCCCCATTCCAATGAGGCTTAAACTTGAGAATAAACATTTAATCCTTTTTATTTGATTCAATTGTTGTTGGTAGTATTTCTCAAGGTCATTATTATATATTATACAGCTTATGGTGTTGATAATTTATATTTACATGTAAATTATAGGGCATTAGCTAGTTAGCCTAGAGAAAAGCTAACTTAGCCTACTTTTTTTTTTTTTTATCTTTTAGCCCAAGGACAAACTACTTTTCATATCAAGTGTAAATTGTAACAGATTGATTTACTTAAACCATATATCTTGTCATTTGTATACATCACTCATTCGTGATTAGGAATTATATGAAGAAAACATTCGAAATATGTATATACACATTATTCAATTCCAAAGCTCAATTTGGAAATACCAAACATAACATAAATGCTATTAAGAAAAAAATTCACTATTCACTATTCACTCAATATACTAAAGTTTTTTTTTTTTTTTTTGCCTTTGTTGCCGTTTTGTCTGTTCTTGATTTTGAATCAATGAATGGTATTGATGATTGAACTCAAAGAAAAATTGAAAAGGAAAGAGACTGAGAGAAAAGAGTACATATGCGTCGCAGCTGAGTTGACATGTTAGGGTTTAGGTAGAATTGAAAAAAGAGCATGCAATGAGGCATATGTATAAGGCAACACTGTAAGCTAACCACAGAGAGAGAGAAAGAGAGAGAGAGCCCCACTTCCATTGAATTTTTCTCTTTATTACGATGACAGTAGTACAAATACAAGCAAGCAGGAAGGAGTAGTAGATAAATCAGTCTTCATTCTCTCATCCATCTCTCAGATATTTTCATTCCACACCAGTTATTTACTGTGACCGAATGTGAAAACCGAAGTGTTAAAAGACAAAATATATAATCCAAAGCGATATTGAGCATGCAGTTTCCAAGGCCAAGTCCAGCAATTAAGGTGCGTCAAATGAACAATCGCTTTCACATGAGATTGACTGATGCAAAGGCAAAGAGAAAGAAAAAAAGAAAAAGCAGAATATAGAATCAGAAAAGAGATCAAAGGAAACATATATAAGTACATATACATGTGTATGTACTTTATGTTTAGTGAGATGGTGTGGGAGGCTATACTGGTAGTTGAGGAATGTAAAAGTGAGAGTGGTACAGTACAGAGAGATCTGAGTGGATGGTGAATTGGTGATGGAGGAAGAAGAGAAGAAGAAGACGATGAAGATGAAGAAGGAGGAGGGAAGAGCATTGAATGAGAATCAGAATGAGTCGGGCAAAAGAGTACGGAGCGATGAGCGTGCTTGGTGCAGGTCTGTCCCCTACTACTTCAACCCTTCTCTCTCACTTTATTGTTATTATTGTTAACAATCTCTTCGCCTATGCGTACGTAGCTGCCCCATCGTCTCTTCACTCTATTATTAGTTATTACTATCAGAAATCCATCACTTTTCTTCCTTTTTGTTCTTTGATTTTCTGATTCTTTGGTTCTGCGGAAAGCTGACATCTTCTTCTTTTATGTTTCCTCCCATATCAAAAAAGAAAAAAGAAAAAAAAAAGAGTAATTGAATTTATAAAAAATTAAAAATTCACCGAAATCGGTTAAGACTTTTCTATTTCCATTTTTAAATGAGCTATTGGAGTTCAGTTTTAAGCTTTCTGTCAAGAACACATTTAATTAATTAAAGGGGATCTATCTTTTTACGTTAAGGTATTAATATGCGCAACTAGTAGATGATACTTTTAATATAAATAATATATATATATGTTAGGATCTTAAGCATGAATAAATTCATCTTGACGTAGGAGAGTTTCCCATTTGATAGAGTTTTGTTTAATCAGAAATATATAGTGGAATCATCCATATACTCACGCTTTACAAGTTTTCGTTAGATATGACGTCAGCCTTTTACATGTGTATAAAATATATATATATATATATATCCACAAACTCATGCCATATTTTTGTTTTTTTTTTGTTTGAGTGGCGTCCATGCTTTCTCTTGCGTTTTTTTTTTTCCTTTTTATTGAAGTCAATTTTATTCAAAGATTTGTTGGGTTTTTTTCTCAGCAAAATTCAAATTTTGATTCATCATGATATGATGAAAAATAATTCTTTTTGTTAAACTCAATTCCATTAATTGTTTTTAGCTTTTTTTTCACTTTTTTTTTCCTAGGCAGCAGGGTGATTTTAATTATATTATGCCCAATCTTTTGTGGTAAATTGCTAGGTAACAAAAGGCCTCCCAACACAGCGGATCACAAGCAGAGACACGAACTAACAAAGCTATGGGCTTCATCACTGTAGATTTCAATAATGTAGACACACCAGTGGCCCATGGACAAAAGATCTTTTGGGTCATGAGTTTGTTTTTGCCTTTATGGTTTGTTGCCTTCCATCTGGCCCAAAAACATTGTCATGCCTCTCTTGCCAGATCCAGATATGAGGAAAAGGCCTGCGTCTTGTAAGGATGTTCAAAACCGATCGAAACCGAAAAGACCAATCCAAACCGAAAAAAAAACCGATTAAAACCGAACAATAATCAAGTCTGCTTCGATTTTTATGATATAGAAACCGATTGGTTCGGTTCAAGTTCGGTTTTGAGTACTAAAAACCGATCCAAACTGAGCCAAAACTAATTAAAAAATACTATTTATTTGTTTATAAAATATATAACTATTTATCTACAAGAAGCATTTTGTTTTGACTTTTTTATAGTAATAAATAAACATTTTTAAAATACTTGAGTGAAAATGCATAATATTAAATAATTATAATAATCATGCTATAATTATCATTTAATTATTTACAACCTAAAAGCATTTTGTTTTGAATTTTGTATAATAAGTTTTTCATTATTTATTAAAATATAGATACATAGATAAACATTTTTAAAGGATTTGAATGGAAATGCATGATATTAAATAATTTTAATATTAAAAACTTATATCAATTTTTATGATTAATTATTATTATCACATTAAAATTTTATTATATTTTTATACCTCTATTTATGAAAAAAAAGGAGTCAAAAAGAATTAAATTTAATTTTAGTAGATAGTACCATTATGAAGATGGAAAAAAAAATTAAATAAGTACATTAAAGCTTGATTCAGACCTTAACCAAACTGAATTAAATTGAAAATAAAACCAAACCAAACCGAATTTCTTAAAAATCGATCAGGTCTCAATTGTCAGTAAACCAAATGGTTCGGTTCGGTTTGGTTTTTATTCAAAATCAAATCAAACCGAACCTATGAACACCCCTAGCGTCTTGTATATAATTTAACAATAATCATTAGCAATAGAGGTTTTAGTTGATAGGAATTTGACTAGTGGTGAGTGATTTGTAAATATTTATCTAAGTATTCTATGAGCCTATAAGAATGTCTTAGCCCTGTTATGTCCCCAAAACTCAACTTAAACTTTTGTATATCAAAAGAAAATTGTCAATATCAATATTAATCAGTGTAAAATATTATAAGTGCTGACCCAAAAAAGTATAAATTATTAAGTATACGGTTTAAAAGCTATAGATACTAGAAAAATTTATCTTAAAATACGTTGAAAGCCCTTGTCTTGCCTGTAGTATCAAAAGATCTTATCCAGTGACTTTATATATTTGATTTTGAATTACACACAAGATGGCGACCCCTTTCTTAGTCCAATCAGGCGCCAGTATCTCTAATAAGCTTGAAAAATCATCTCTCTTTATCAACTCGAAGTCCGCAAATCATAGATGGCCCAACACTGTTCCACATATTCACACCCTCACTTTACCATCACCTTCCATCACATTCAGATCCTAGCTGCCTCATGATCGCAGAAAAGCACGTTATAAAATAAACTTGTATAATTGAATTACAAATATATATATGGAAGCTCAAAGAGCTTCACTTCTCAACGTGTTTCCAATATCAATCACAAATCGATATTTGACATCAGCTTTCAGGAGACGCTCTATTGCTGTGTTCACGTAATTCATAGGAATAACCTCTACATCAGCTTTTATGTCGTGTTTTGCAGCAAATTCAAGCATTTCTAGCACCTCCTTCACTCCTCCAGCATTACTTCCAGCTACTGTCTTTCTCGCTGCCAAATACCCCAAAATATATGGACTTGTTACTCACAAGCTTATCAATTCGATGACAATTTTATAATTTAATGACTCTGCTCATGATTTGCATTGATAATTAAAGCATCCCTTATATACAGTACTACTTCGTTATCATCTCACAATTCAGAGCTGGAGGAGGCTATATGTCACTTAAACCATACACTTATGCCTAAGGTCATGCTTGTTTACTAAAATAAAATGGAATAGAATGAATTGAAAAAATAAAGATGGAAATAAAATAATCAAAGGAGATAGGTGATCACATTTATAAGAGAAAAAGGTAATTTAATTAATGAGGTTGAAAATCATGATTTATGAAATTTTTAGAAGGTGTGATAATTCCCACATTTGTAATATATATTAATAAGTTTTATCATGTTTATTATAAGGAAAAAAGTGATTGAATTCATTTTTGTTTTGATTTTTTAATATATTCCATTTCATTATATTCTAGTAAACAAACCTGACTTAAGAGTAATAACAATTGCTTATATACTTACCCACCACTAAAGGGAATACTGGTAGCTCTAGGGGCTTATCTGGAACTCCAAGGAATACAAGTTTCCCATTAGGCTTCAACAATCCAATCAAAGGCAACACAGCATGTTCTGCAGAAACTGTGTCAATAATACCATCCAAAGTGCTCGTTGCAGCCTGCATGTATAGATACAGATGAAACAACATGTGATTCCAAGAATATCATTTACTTTATAATTTATTTGTGATGATTAAGCACATTTGTGATAGGCACCTGCATCTGATCTTCGTCACAGCTGATCAAGAAAGAGTCAGCTCCTAGATGTTCAATGGCTTCCTTCTTTTTGTTGGGAGATGTACTGATGACAGTGACCTTAGCTCCAAAGGCTTTTGCAAACTTGACGGCCATATGGCCAAGCCCACCAAGACCAACCACACCCACATGAAGGCCTGGCTTGTCAAGATCATAGTATCTCAGAGGGCTATACACTGTGATTCCAGCACAAAGCAGAGGAGCTGCAGCATCAAGAGGTAAAGCATCTGGAATGTGGAACACAAAGTGTTCATCCACCACCATCAAGTCCGAAAAGCCTCCGTAGGTGGTGGTGCCGTCGATGTACTTGCCGGCGATTGTGAAGACCATCTTTGAGCAGTGAATCTCAAGATCATTTTCACAACTTTCACAGGAGCCACAAGACCAAACCATGCCTCCTGCACCAACCCTGTCTCCAACTTTGAACTTTTCTACCTTGCTTCCCACCTCTGTCACCATGCCAACCATCTCATGCCTGCACTTATTTTTTCATCAGTGTCACTTCAAAGTGTAATACAATATACGTATAAAGGTTTGTTAGAGATCATGCAGAAGAAAAGGTACGTGCCCAGGAACAAGCGGGTAGGTGGAAAATCCGAGTTCGTTGTTGATCATGTGGAGGTCAGAGTGGCATAACCCACAATATAACACTTTGAAAGACACATCTTTTTCTCCTGTCTCTCTGCGAAAACAATAAATAATTTGAATAAGCTGTTGAAAAATACATCGCTTGGGAAAACATGCTTAGGGTGATAGGACGAGAGAACCTTCTGGAGAAGTGAAAAGGGGAGAGAAGGTCAGATGGATTCCTAGCTGCCCATCCGAAGGCCTTCCTGGGATGCCCCGCATCTGATTGCACTGCCATCTCAATATGTTCTGTGTATGTAATTATTTCACGCTTCAATTATTTCAGGGCCGAAGGAATTAAAGGAGAAATATCAAGGTGTTGAGGAGGGGGGGAGGGGTTAAAGCGTATAAGAAATTAAAGAAGACGAGTGAGAAAGATTCGTGGAGGCCAGTGTGGTTTTTATTGGTGACAAATGGGGAACTGTTGAGGTATTCGATGACGCACTTCAATCCATGCAGTAATTTCAGGACTGGTTGAATATTCGCCAATGGATTTCGGATCCTCTGAAGTTCAAATTCATAAATTTTCCTGTGGTTTGAATATTTCTTGCTCTGAATCTGATCGAAGTGGAGAAGTCAGAGAAGTGTTCCTTTGCTTAATTTCTTGGCAGACAATCCAAAATTGCCATGAGAAAAGTCTCTGCTAATCAGTCTGGAGGGGCAACCATTTCCAAAATAATAACGACGACGACGACAACTATTTTATTTATGATTCATGCATCTAAGCAACTTACTTTAAGTTTTATTTAATTTTCTCAAAATGCTGGCAAAAAAGATCTAATTTTCTTAAAAACATATGGTTATTATTAATTATTTAATTAAAATATGATAAGTGTATAATTTATGAGAGAATTACATTGAAGTCTTATACAAAAAAATCAATTATTATAAGATCTAGTGACAACTGAATTAAAAGATTGACAATTTATGAAAGAATTACATTGAAATTTTATATAAAAAAATTAATTATTACAAGGTCTAGTGACAACTGAACTAAGAGATTGACAAATGATTGTGTCGTCAATTTTCTTAATTTAATTGTCAATAGACCTTATAACAATTATTTGAACCTATTTGAGCCGGCCCGAACATAAAAAAGTATGTTTTTTAAGCCTTAGCCTAAATTTTATCGGGCCAGTTCAAACTAGCATATCGAGTTTGGTCCAAATTATCAACTTTAGTTTTTTTATATATATGTTTGATAAAATTTCTTAACATATACTCCCTCCGTCCCTCTTTATATAATGTGTTTTTAATCAAATCTCGCATATTAATAAATGTTTGTTATTTAATTGAACTCATATAAAAATATAATGATTTTCTAGTTTTACCCTTAATTCTGTCATAATTAATATCACAATGGTGGTAAAGAAAACACAATTAATGATCTATTTCATTTTTTAAGACAAGGGTGAAATTGTATAATTATTTAAAAATATTATTATCATTTTTTATATTTAAGAATAAAATAAATTTTTAAAAAATATATGGAAGGAGCAACAACTACGGAATCAGCTGGGCCATTTTCCATGTCCATATGACCATGCAAGTGATGCGACGGGCCGATGACTCAACAAGCTTAGCCCGAATTGGGACAATCAAGTTATTCAGGCCCGCTGTTGGAGACCAGGGTGAAATCCGATCCTGTCCAGCGTCCAGTTGTATACAGATTTTTTTTAACTAATTATTTTATAGTATCATATATATTTCATGATATTTTTCATGCATAATATATATTGTTTTAATAATAATTAAGGAAATTTTTTAGTACTTTAATTTTTTTTAATCTCTTTCAAAATTGTAAATTGATTTCTGTAACTTAATACTATCTAATGACTTTTATTAATTATACATAATTTTAATATATGATTACTTTTTTTGGTAAATAAAAATCATTACTTTGTCTTTAGTATCCTGGGGCAGATAATCTCGTAGTTCTCAAAACTTACTGCTTGTGCAATGGAAAGAAGAATAAATTTTGAAGGAAGATAATTCTATTTTTTAATGAATAAAATTACTACGTACTTTTTACAGAATAGCATTCTGACGGAGCTTGATCAGTTGTGGGCTAAAATCCTAGAAGGTTTATACTTCCCAAACTCTGAATTTTTGGAAGCTAAAGAAGGACGCAAAGCTACGTAGATCTAGAGTAGTATCACTGAAGGCCGTAAAGTGTTTGAGGGAATAGTTTTTTCTAGAATTGCTAATGGCAAGAATACAAGATTTTGGAAAGATGCATGGCTGCCAACACTACCAGGTATGTGCATTTCTTCTCCTTGCCCTTTGGAGGAATTGAAGGATGTGACAGTGGATGTTGTTCTTCGTAATAATTTCTGGCATTTGGGTCCTTTTGTCAGTTTTATTTATCTTCTGCTGAAATTGATGCTATTTTGAGCATTCGTAGAGTCTTATCTTACAGGGAAGGCAAATACGTTTGGGTGGGAACGTGGTAAAATTCCTATTCTGTAAACGAAGGCTATTTAGTTGCCAAAAATTTGGAGGAGGGGAAGACTGTTTCCACTGCTAGTTCTTCTCTACGTGCCTCAAAGACACTTTGGAAGGTCATCTAGAAGTTTAGAACCCTTAACAAAATTAAATTTTTCACGTGGAGATTGCTTTCTATAGCCTTACCAAGTTTTGAAAATCTTCACACGAGAGAGTGTATACCTGTGCTGTATCTGTAACAAAAATGCCCAATCTCTTGAGCAAATATTTCTATTATGTGATTGGGCTAAGGTTGCTTGGTTTGCTCATTCTTTATCCTCGTATGTTAATGAATATAATATATCATCATTGAATTGCTGGTTACAAAGATGGCTTATTGAAGGGAAGCTAGAGAGCTGGGATAAATCGCTTATTGCTTGTACTCTCTAGCAAATTTGGAAGGCTAGATACTCTTATTTATATGATCACATTATGGCGAATCTTGTTTTGGTCAATAGAAGAGCTTTTGAGATGCTTCATGAATTTTGGATGGCTAATGACTGGTTTAAAGATGAGCAAAGTAGTTTTACTCAATCTAATAGGGCTTCCCCTCCAAAATGGGTTGCCCCCGTGGGTAATAGTCTGAAAATCAATTCTGATTGTGCATTTTTAGAGGAAAAAATGGAAGCGGCTGCATCGTTTGTTGTCAGAGATTGCAATGGGTGGCTGCTAGATGGATCTTCTACTATTTGTAAGGCAGCTTCCTCTACGGAGGCACAATTTATAGCCTTGGACCTGGCTTTGGACTATGTTATTCATTGCTATATCAATAAGGCTTGTTTTGATGCTGATTCTAAAGTTATGGTTAATTGCTTAAATTCTTCTTTGGCTCCCCGAGTAATGGGAGATCTCTTGTCCTGTTTGAAAATATTCCCTTTGAGAGAAATCTCTTATACTATGTTTGGATATACATAGATTTGGATTTAAATTTAAGTCAAATTTATCATTTAGATAATTAAAAATGTATGGATTTGGATTAGACTCAAATCCAAATCCAAGTTCTCCCTTAATTTTTTTATAATTTGAAATAATTTTTAAACCCCTATTATTTCAAATTCTAATTCAAGCTCTTTTGTAATTTGACCCAAATGCATGAAGGCTTGATTGACCTCTTAATAGTAATTGGACCGAATCGCTAAAGTTCACAAAAACAAGCTGCCATTGTTGATCGGGATGGGATGACCGACTTCCACTAAGACAGGATTGATGATGATGATGACGAGGATTGGATGCCTGACTTCCAACAGGAGTGGACCGATGGGAATGATTGGGATCGAATGCCCAATTTTCACAAGGAACGAACCAACAGACTGAATGGCCGACTTCCATAGAGATTGAACCAATGACGATGATGAGGATCGAAAGTCTCACTTCCATCGAGTGAGGACTGGAAGGCTGCCTTTTATAGCCATTATCGTCGGTCCAGTTCGGTGCTGGTCGAAGTTGGCCGTCTAGTCCAAGTTGTTGCCGTCAGTTTGATCCTAGTAGAAGAATTACGTTTGGTCCCCATTATTACTGTTGGTCCGGTCCTGGTGGAAGTCAGCCGTTTGGTCCCTGTTGTCCCCCTCAGTCCAATCTCGGTGGAACTCGATCATCTAGTCCCTATGGTCCAATCCTTGTTGTCCTCATCGATCTGATTCCAGTGGAAGTCGGCCTTTTGATCTTGGTGTTAGTGAAAGTTGGCTGTTCGGTCCTCGTCATAGCCTTTGGTTTGATCTCGATGGAAGTCAGTCGTTTGATCCCCTTGTCATAATCGGTCCAATCCTGATGGAAGTTTGTTGTCCAGTCCCTATCGGTTCGGTCCAACTGGAAGTCAATCGTTCAGTCCTGTTATTGCCATTGGTTCGGTCCTTGTTGTCATAGTTTGTCCGTTCCAGTGGAAATCAGCTGTCTAATCCCTGTCATAGCCATCAATCCCATCTTGGTGAAAGTCAACCGTCCGGTTCCCGTGATCCCCCTCAATTTGGTCTCCATTATTGTTGTCGGTCTAGTGCTTATGGAAGTCGGTTGTTCGATCCTTGTCATCGCCATCGGTTTGGTCTTGGTGGAACTTAGTCGTCCTGTCCTCATTGTAGCTGTTGGTTCGATCTTGATAAAAGTCGACCTCTGATCTCAGTTGTCGTCATCGATCCAGTGCTAATGGAAGTCAGTCGTCTCGTCCCCGTTGTTGCTATGATTCGATCCTGGTGGAAGTCAGAGTTCCTATCCTGATCATCACCAGTGCCACAGTCCCAGTCGGCTTTATTTGTCTGATCCCGTTGGAAGTTGGTCATTCGAATCATCAAGTTTGACTAATTTTTTCGGTTTTTACGTTAGATCCAAACAAAAGATTTTAAAATTTTAATTTAAAATTTTTTATATTATCCAAACAAAGAATTTAGAATTTATGAATTTCAAATGTAAGATTTTAAATCTAAATTTTCAACTTAAATTTACCTATCCAAACATAACTTTAAAGAATTTTCATTTTTTATGGATTTTTAGGGAAGTGAATTTGGTGACCGACTGGATTGTTAATGCTTCTTTAAAAGTATTGTGCCCTTCTGATTCATTAAATCCCCGATTCCTCTTCAACATTTATTGGAGTTTGATCGTGGTGGAGTTAGCGATGCTGACTTTTTATTTTTCTTTTGCATTTCTGTTCTTGTGTGTTTGTTATGAATTGCTTCGTTGGTTAATGTATTTCTTTTTTTCTTTTGTTGGCAAAAAAGAAAAACCAGCTTGAACTACGCATTTGGGGGGGGGGGGGCATCGAGGCTAATGTGAAGTCGGATCCTAATAAACCATAAGAATTTTGATGTGCTACTTAGTTTTGAGCAATAAATACGCCCGTAATATATATAAATTGGGTAACGAAGTAAGTTAAAAAGCTGATCGCAAAACCCCAAAAATAAAAAATAAAAAGTCCTAATTAATGGTTATCATCAAACACGCACGCACGCACGCACGCAAGAGAAAAATGTTGGTGAAAAAGATATGTACTTTACCAATGTATGAGCACATTTAAAATATTTTTT